AAATTTGAACTATACTTAATCATCCTAGTTAATTAAAATGGTCGGTATAGAGTATATTTATTTAAATAATAAATCGATTATATATAAATTTTTGTTTTTATTTAATTTATTATGACTTTAATTGTTTTTATGCTGTTTTTTATTTTGATTATTTTTATTGTGCTTCACTACGACATTGTTGTCGGATTAAGTGGCACGCCCTTTCGATGACATTTTTTTTTATGTTAATAAATAAATAAATAAATACATAATATTCTCAGTTTTTATATTGACAAAAAATCTTTGGATCATATTCTATAATCTAAAGATCCAATTGGGCAAAATTCTTTAAAATATTCTCAATTTATTTTTTTTCAAGTGAACGTATTATTCAACCATTTAATTGTACAATATTTTATTTTTCTCATAAATATCCAAAATTGGATGTTTGTGACCCTGAAATAATTTTTAATAATTATTTTTCTATAATGAATGTTGTTGATAATTTATCTGTTTATCAAAGCATTTCTAAGGTATTTTTTCTAATTCTTTAAAAAATCCTTTAAAGAAAATTCTTTAGTGTCTTCCAAAGTGTGAACGTGATATTATTGACACACAATTATTTTCTAATAAATTTCAAGACCAAAGAAGCAATGTTGGGGCTAAGAACAAAAAATTCCATTTCCATTTGGAGGCTTCTTATGAAAATTTACAGGTGACAAAAATGGGCTAATTAAATAAAAATTTTTTGAAGACAAAAATGTAGGTAATATTTCCCTATCTTTTTGCACCCTGATGTCTTTTCCTTTTCTGGACACCCCAACTTACCGAATAGCTATAACTTCGTTCAGAATGATCGAATCCGGGACGCCCTAGTATGGTTCGATTCAGCTCGTCGAGGCGCATCGAAACATACAAGGGCAACTCTGAACGAAGTTATACTCTGCGGTAAGTTGGGCTCACGGTAAGTTGGCCTGCTCCCGTCCATTTAAATCTAACAAAAAATTTATTTATCAAAAATATCATTTTTAATCTCAAAAAATTATTTAGGAGGAAGTTTATGAAGAAAAATTGACTACAACACTTCCCGGTATTTTAAAGAATTTCAAAATTATTTTCAAAAAAAATTAAAGGTTTTATATCCCAAATTGGCGGCCAATTTAGTTTTTTTCTTGGAATGTCTTTAATTTCTCTACTTCAATTTTTCCTAATCCCAATAATTAATTTTATTGGAAATCTTGTAATTAAAATTAAAACATTTTTATTTTCTACAAAAAAAGAAAATTGTCAGGACGTCCAAATGATTTTTTATAAAACATATTTCGATGAAATGATTTCACAACATTAAATAAATTTTTTTATTTATACAATTTTGGCTACAAATCTACAGTCTGTTAAGAAATTATTATGCCAGGGAAATTTTTGCACTTTACCCCACTTCCAATTAAGCTGGAATTTATGCCTTTGATAGTTTACCGATAAATATTAAGACCCTCGAAGAAAACTGAAAATTTAAAAGAAAAAATATTTCATTTTCCAACTGTAGGAAATTATAGCGCCAAAACTTAAAATTTAACAAATTTCTCTGGAAATAAAAATAGAATCAAAAAATAAAATATCAATATTTGGTACATTTCTATTCAAATTTTAGTACAAATATAAGATGTTTTAGCATTGTGTGGGTGAGACGGAACGATTCCAACTATGTAATTATTTGAAATATTCTTAATTTTAATGAAAATACATATATGTAGGTATATTTAATTTAAAATTAAAAAAAAATTTTTTTTATTAAAAAATTATTTTAATTAATCAATATTAAAAGAAATATATTAAAAGAAAAAATTACATATGATAAAGTGTATTCACGTGCAGACTCGATAATATGTGGCATTTATTGACTATATTTGCCAATCAAAGTGAATAAGCGCCCTCATTCTTTTTTATTAAAAAATAGTGTTTTTTAAAAGTGCAAAAAAAAATGTGTAGTTTAGTTGTGGGGAGGAGGGATGGGGAGAGGAGGAGATGGGAGGAGTATGGGCGAGGATGTGGGGAGGAGTATAGAGGCATTTTTAAGGAGTTAAATTTTCAATTTTTTTTTATTTTTTTAACCATTTTTTAAAGAAAAATTTTATTTTATAAGGAATATTTTTTGTTTAATGTATTTGCCCTTTTCTATATTTATGAGTCGGTCTAAAGCCAATCCACATCTCGAAAACTTTCAGTTGTTTGCCACTGAAGAGCCATCAATGTGTTTTTGACTTTTTCTTGATCAGTGAAGTATAGCCCTCGTAAAATGTGCTTATGGGGCCGAAATAAACTGCTGCCAGTCTGAGTACAGTCTGTTGAATAAAGTGATGGGAAAAACTACCCAAGCCCGGTTATTTCGAACATCGACATGCCCATAAATCTCGATCTCGGCTTTTCCAGCCTTGGCAATTCTTGTTCTCGGATTTTCTATAAACCTCGCCTTACATATTCCTATTTGAATTTTAATATCCAATTTTTAGCTGAAAATGTTTTCCATTTTCTGGCTTAATTCTTTTTTAATTCTTTTCCATTTTCTGCTACATTACAATGTTGATTGTATGTGGAACCTCTTTAAAGGAAGAAAAAATGAAAGTGAAAGTGAACTTCCGTTACTTTCTCAACAATATTATGATGAGGGTTCACCATCTTCAAGTATTCACACCAATCAACAAACCCCAACAAAAACAAATAAAGGGAAGAGAATATTGCTAGTAACTGAAGCAAAGCACCCGCACTACAATTTTTTCGTAATTCAAAACAAAATTAACAGAGTTAAATCATTAATTTTAGATAAATCTTGCAAATGTTTTATGTTATAATGGCAATTATGATGTGGTAAATTAAAATTAATGTTTATAATATAACACTGAGAACCGGATTTCTTGATATAATGCAACATCCTCTGTTAAAACCGTAGAAAGATAGAAACTATTTTATACTAAACAGATATTACTCCTTACCGTACGTTCACTTTGCCACAAACTTCCCAATCGGCCACGCCAAACCAGAGTTGCATCGTAATTACGAATTACGATTACGAAAATATCCCCCTCTCGATCTCGGCTTTTCCAGTCTCGGTGATCCTCGGCCTCGGTTTTTTCGAAGAACCTCGACCTCGTGCTACTCTAGTTGGAACTAACGAAGATGCCGGAAATTTCGATCAGCCCTGTTCCCCCTCCAGTCATTTTTATTCGTGTATTTTAGTATTTGTTTGTTGTTAAATACAATGAAATTGAACTGAAGAAACCTTTGGAAGGTGTTCGATATATAAAAGTGCTTTATATTGAAGACCAGGAATATTCAAAAGAGTTCAATTTTGAAAAATACAAAATTAATTGGGAAAGTGAATATGATATAAATGTTGATCACCCCTTGAAATCGTTGGAATTGTCTATGTTCACTATATACAAAGGTTAGCTAAAAAAGATGATTCTTTATTATAAAGACAAGAACAGCTTTCTTTGCTGGAGAAACTGTTTTTGTGCGGCTACGGAGGGTAGGCTGGGCATGGTTTCGCCAAACGATGGCCGTACTCGCTTTGCTTGCGGCGACCGTAGCGCAGCCGCGGCCGTCTTTCCGCTCAAAACTTCTGCGTAGACTCTGTGGGGATAAAAACAAACGGTCATAAATCTGTCAAATCAAGTCAGATTTCGTTGATTTTGGTGTCTTTCAACTCATCTCGACGAGCTCTTTCGAATGAGCTATTATTTGAATATTAGAATCAAATTTTTTACCCCAAAATCAGCTTACTCTCTCCTATGGTTTTTCGATTTTCAATCGCCTGTATCTCTGCGAGTTTTCGGCTTCGGCAGAAAATTCTTACATATTTGAACTCAGCTCGGCGAGCGAATCGTTGGTATATACATCGACTTCGATCTCGGTGGACATACTATACTATAATCTTTAAAATTTTTCTCTTTTAAGCAATAATAGAAAATCCAAAAGTCGACATCTTTGGCATGAAACAAGGAGTTTTTAATTGGCTAAGAAATATGGGAATTACAGGATATTTTGCATTGGGAATTGCTGAATTCTCTTCTGGGGGAGTTCATCTTTTAGCAGAAATTAAATTAGAAAAATATTTAATTGCAAATTCAAAAATTCCTTTTCCAATTCATTTCCATTCTCTTCATCATGAACTCTATCGTTTAATGCCCGGTAAGCATTTTTTAACTAAAATGTAGAATTGATTTTGGAAATTATTGAGACAATTAATGATAATTTTTGTTTTTTTTCTAAATAAATGTCTCATGATTACCAGAATATGTCTGTTGCGTAGATAGATTAAGGATTTATTTTTTGATGGTACGACGGGCAGGCACTCTTCATCTGAATTAGTGTTGTACCCCGAACGCTCAGGGGCGGGTATGTAGGGGTACGGGGTTTTCGAATTGTTTCGGGTCGGGGTATAGGTCGGGGGAGCAAAATATGGTCGGGGTACGGGGTCGGGGTACAATTCTAATCTGAATTACTGAAGAGTGCTAGCCAAACTTTAAATTTCTTAGCTAAATGGTTCTTTCATTGGTACTTTTCCGTTATGCCATACCCCCCCCCCCTTCCCTAAATTAATGCTCAAAATGTCAATATAGGGTAGAAAAAGGTGCTGAATCGACCTGTACCACTCTTTTTTCCCGAAGAAAATCGAGCGAATCCGCATTCCCGGAGCTCGAACGGCAGATAAGCAACCAGATTATTTTTAAATTTGGTACAGGGTTGATTTTTAAAATACTTTTTGTTTATGAATTAGTTGGGGGAGTTGGGTGACTTAAAATTTGGACATTTTAGTAATTATTCTTTTAAAATTTTTAAAATAATTTAAGTGATGTAAATTGTTTATTCAATACTTTATTAATTTAGAGCTTAACTGCCAGGAAATTTCTGAGGAACTTGAAGCTGGATATTTAAATTTGGCCAGGAAAAGGGCTTTGAACGATTTAAAAGTAAAATTGGAAGACGATAAATTAAATAATAATTTATTAAACTTAATTGAAATGCCAAAAATGTGGGATTTATTAAGAAAATCAAAATATTATTTAATAAATGTCCATCCACTTGGGCAATTTTCCTTTCCAAATATTCCAAAAAGAATTGTTAATATTGGAGGTATTGAAGTAGAAATTGAAGGAATTTTGAATGAAATTGAGGAAGAAAAAAAATTAAAGGAAAAGAAGAGTACAGCAAAAGATTTTATTAAGAATATAGAAAAGAAATTGTATACTTATGAAGTTGAATGGGTTAAAAATGTAATAATTTAATAGCGAATACCGTATTTTCTCTAAAATAAGCCCCCCCCCTCCAAAATAAGCCCCCCCCTCTCTAAAATAAGCCCCCTCTAGAGGTCGATCGAAAAAATAAGCCCCGGGGTTTATTTTAGAGAAAATACGGTATATTATTTATGAGTAGGGTTGTGAGTTTCAAACCGAACCGAACTGAAAAGCCGAAGATTTTCGGTTCGGTTTGTCGGTTTGGTTTCGGTTAACGATGAATCTGGTGAAACCGACAACACTATTTATGAGCCAACCTAAATAGAATCGGGTTTAAAAGCAATGAACGAGAATAATTTGGACTTTTTTCCTCTGAGCCTAAAATTCCGAAAAGTGGAGGCTTAAATTTTTGAACACCTAAAAATATACAAAAAAAATTTAAAAAAGTAAATAAATAAAATATTATGATAAAATAAAAGTGCCAATATTTTTTGGCATTTTTTCTAAACTCTGCTGATACATGAACGTTCTGAACGGATTTCGGCCTAAAATTCGTCGGAATTATTTAATTTTTTTACTTTTTAAAATTTAAACTTTTATTTTCCAGACAAGATGCTTTGTTTTATTTTATATGGGTGAACACGTTTCTTTGGAAGAATTACCAGAGAACTATTTTTTTAGATTATTAAAAACATTTAGAAGCTATAAGGACTGTAAATTTGTTGCTCAATTCCCTACACATTATTATGAAAAAAAGCTGGGATATAATCAGGATAATGATTTTATACAATTAAATTACTATGTTAAAGGCAATGTATATATTAGTGGTTTTATCAAATATTATGTTCAAGAATTATTAGGTAATATTTATAATGGATGGGTAGATATTAGGACTGTGAAAAATATGTGAAAAATCGCCAAATATAAGCATAGTACATACATATATACGCCAAAAATGACCAAAATATGCACTGAAATGTGTAAAAATTTTTTAAAAGATGCACTATATATGCAAACAAAATTGACTAAATTTTATCAAAAATCTCGCTGGAAAGTTTTATTATTTGAGAATTTATTTAAATATACATAATACTTACCGTATTTGCTCTATTAATCCCCCAGTCTTTATTAATCCCCCAGGCTCTATTAATCCCCCACCCTGGGGATGGGTTGAAACAATAATCCCCCAGTCTCTATTAATCCCCCACCCTAGAATGGGTTGAAACAATAATCCCCCAGTCTGTACATTTATTAAAACAATATTAATAATCAAAAAATCATTAACAACATAAAAACAAATCAATCAATATCAAAAAACAAATCAAGTTCTTCCCCTATCGCGTTCTTCCCCTACTGATTTAAGGGACAAATGAATAGATATCAGAGGATTAAGAGGGATGTCAGTGGATTAAGAGAGATTAAGAGGATTTGAATGCTTATTGGTGGATTTATTGTGATATCGGTATATTTGGAGTGGTAAAGGGTGATCTGAAGAACGATGGGTTAAGTCTAATTTATCGGATTTAGAGCTCAACTGTTTGAATGTATATATGGGGATTATTCCTCTAATCCCTCAATATACTCTTAATCCCCAGATACAAATCTTTTAATCAATAAATTCCTGATACCTCATATTATCCTCCAAATCCCTCTTAATCCTCTGTGTTAATCCCAAATCCATGATATCCCTCCACCATCAGATATATCTTAATCCTTAGGAGTTGAACTTAGGATGGTTTAAACCTCGCAAACCAACGTACACCTCACAATCCCTCTATATCTCTGTTAATCCCAAAAATCCATTCTTATTTACTCGTAATCCATCCACCACAGACAGAACTTGTCAAATTTTGGAGGGGGAAGCCAACTTTAGTTTTTTTTAGCGCCACAGGCGAAAATTTGGAAGTTCAATAAGCCAGATTTTTTCCTTTTTTAGCGCCGCAGGCAAAAATTTTGAGAATTTTGGAAGGCCAAGAAGCCAGCTTTCTTCCTTTGTCAGCTCCGCAGGCAATTTACTGGAGTAATTAAAAATCCCGTAAATTTGAAAAAAATTCCCGGGATCCCGGAACGGGATTACGTTTCAAAAGTTCGACCGGGACGGGATCCCGCGGGATTAATCCCGTAAATCCCGGAATCCCGTTTTCCGCGAAAAACCCGGGATTCCGGGACGGGATCCCGTAAAATCCCGTACGGGGTCCCGTCCCGTGCCGAGCTCTAATCATTAGAAGGAAAAAGACGTTCAGAACGCCAAAATCTAATGGCGTATTTTCAATCTTCAAAACAATTCTCCATCCTACGGATGGGTTGAAACAATAATCCCCCAGTCTCTATTAATTCCCCAGTCTCTATTAATCCCCCACCCTAGAGATGGGTTGAAACATTAATCCCCCTGGGGGATTGATAGAGCAAATACGGTAATTCGGACTTTTTTTCAGCACAGAAAAATCTATATGCTTTTATCACTGCGGGTGATCAAGAATGCTTTAATGAGGTATTTAATTACAAACTAAAATTAATTAATTAATTTTACAGGCTCTTTATGCTGGTGTTCCATTAATTTTAATTCCATTCACTTTTGAACAAAAGTTTAATGCCAAAATTGTTAAACATATGGAAGTGGGGACTGTTGTTGACCATACAAAATTTATGGATCAATTTCCTGCTGCCGTTCTTAAATTAATCAGGATGTCTGTTTTGCTAAAAAAAATTTTTAATGGATACGTTGATGGATAATCACATTTATCCACCAAGTTTATCTACTAGGGGTGGATTTAGTCTCGTATCTCGTGTTTGTTAGAGGTATCGTATTTTGTATTTTGCCATAAGATATTTTCAATCTATTTTTAAAAAAATGTTTAAAATTTGGGACAATTTTAATATCCTAGAATGAGGAAAAAAGGAAGAAATCTTGCCCATTGGTCTTCCCAAAATTTTCAAATTTTCGCCGCTTAAATTTTCGCCTCTCCGATATCCTCCTTAATCCCTTTATCCTTCAATCTCTCACCCCTGTTGTCTACCCTTTGAAATTTTCGGCTACTGCGCGAAAAGTGAATTTTTTAGGCTCGAAGGCGCCAAAAAAGTTTTGCGGATTTTTGATATAATGCGGATTTTTAGCTCAAAATTGCAGATTTTTAATTTCGAGATACGAATTTCGAGAGATCCCTTTAATCTCTCAAACCTCTTTAATCCCATCAAACAGCTTATATCCGTCTATATTACTCAGAGTCACTGAGGTATTAATATATTTCGAACCCGGACCGAATTCAAATTTTTTGTCACTACTCGGACATTCAGTTTTTAACAAAATATCCGGATTCCGGACTCCAGGATTCAACTCCAATAAAAAATAAATATTTATGTATTTAGTAATTGAAATATTTAGGCCAAATCTGGAAAAAACCACATTTCATGAAAACGCCAACAAAATTAAAGAAGAAATCCACCAAATTCCTAAAAGACAAATTGAAACGTTTCTTGATGTTGTTAAGAAAGCTATAGAGGAAAAGTCCTCCATCAACTAATGAAAATTAAGAATTGAGCTTATTTGAAAGACAGTCAGTAAAAGATTATAAAAAAGTAAAAACGAGAGCTATCTGTCCCCCTTTTTTTGTAAGATGTAGATGTAGATGACCAGATGCTCACTAATTTTTTGTTTATATTGAGTATTCAGATATGTTTACGATTTTAATTATCGAACTTTCTGGCAATGATTCTTGCTTAATTAATGATAAGCCGCTTGCATATAAAGTAACACTATGAACAAAAATATAACAAAATATAGCAAGAAAGTGGTAATAGGTTAGCCACGAGCAGGGGCTAACTGCGTCTTGCTCTACCGACTGAGCTATTGTTCTTGCTTTCACCTTTATTTTTTAATAGATTATAAACTCTCGCCTAGTAAGCGTTCAATATTACGTTTGTTGATCATTTCTAAGTCATTTTTGCCAGCGGGTGGAAATCTTGAAACTTTTAATGTGCGAAAAGAATATAAAAACTACTAAATTTTGTTTTATAGTGGATGTTTTATATAAACAGGAAAGTAGAAGAGCCGGTCATTAGAACACTTTCTTAGTTATGTACATATTATTCTTTATGTAAATATTAGTGTTATTCAAACGCGATTTTTCGGTATCGGTATTTCGGTAAAATACCAATACCGAAAAATACCGACGAAAAATAGTCGGTATTACTATTTTTAAAAATAGCGGTATTTTTTGAAAATTTACCAAATGTGCAAATTTAACACAATAAATGTAAAATAAATTTATAAATAGTGAATAAATAATGAATCTAGTATTTACGGTGGGGTATGATTCCGTGCACACGATTCCGTGCACACGTTTCCGTGCACACGATTCCGTGCAGGCACGTTTCCGTGCACACGATTCCGTGCAGGCACGTTTCCGTGCACACGATTCCGTGCACACGTTTCCGTGTCCGTTATAAAAAACACGTTTCCGTGCCCAATTTCTTTTTAATATAATAAACCATAAGAAAAGGTTTTGAGGGGTACAGTGAATATCAAGGGACTTATGCATGACATCGAGACATCAACAAGGGGATATTGGTAGATTTGGAGGAAAAAATCTCAAAAAAATTTTTTTTTATTTTAAAAAAATTAGAAGAACCCTGCTTCTAACCTATGACCAACAGAATCTTCGCTGGAAAAACTGTTTTTGTGCTGCTACGGAGGGTAGGCCGGGCATGGTCTTCGCTACACGATGGCCGTGCTTCGCTGCGGTCGTGCTCGCTTCGCTCGCGGCGACCGTAGCGAAGCGGCGGCCGTCGTTCCGCTCGACATGCCCGGCTTCCTCCACAGCGGCAAAAACTTTTTTCCGCGTAAATTTTTTGAATTGAAAAGAAAAATACTGAAGCAAAGTTGATAAGTTGATTACAAGGGGGATTAAAATACTTAAAAAATATTTAAAATTTTATAAAAATTTAAAAAAATAAAAATATTTAAATAATTGGGCACGGAAACGTGTTTTTTATAACGGACACGGAAACGTGTGCACGGAATCGTGCCCGCACGGAAACGTGCCTGCACGGAA